CTTGAATGATGTTCCCTACTTCTGTGAATAATTAAAAGAAAATTCGTCATAGCATCGAACAGCTAAACAAAGGTAAAAAAAAAAAAAAGAAAAGAAAAAAAGCCCAAGTTCACCGAATTACAATTAGAACCAATGGCAGAAGAAGTTCCAGGTCGAACATCTTTCTCGACCTAGGTATTGACCGGTGTTAGAAAAGGTAACGTGCTCATACGACTTACGGACAATGCCCACGCATTCCATTGGTACAGCCCACGGACATCGGAGCTATGACACGCTAGGAAAGTCCTTCTCGGTTCTAAAAGTAGGTCCTACGTAGGTCATCTTGATCAGTACTAGGCTCCAGCACATTATTGTTGAGATAGGTTCTGGTAATAGGGCGCAAAAGAAGCAGGAATATGTATGCTAGTCGTACCTAGGCAATGTATCTGGATGACTCCTTCGTATTCACCCTTAATCAGTCCGACCGCCTTTCGCCGTTCTTTCCTAAAATGACTGTATTAGGGGAGTATGCATTCGGATGACCGCTCCCCTGGTTTGGTTGTCATGATGTTCCGGTCGAGCATCATTTCCCTGCTTAGCTCTTTTGTATTGACGATGCATTCGGCTCCGGGAATAATTAAGGTCATAGGTACCGTACGCCTAATTACACCGGTAATACATCGAAGAAAACAAGGCAACGACGAACGACTAAGTAATTTGATATGCCTGACTGACTAAAATAATCGAATATGCACCAAGCAGGGGCTGAGAGACAAGAGATAAGAAAAGCTGAAACATTCCACTCTGGAACGTCCAATTTCGCGATAGTCATGGCTGGGGGACTATCAGTATCTCGGAACGAGATGGAGCACAGGGCCTGTATATCAGTGGGGACCTGCGGCAGTGACCAACCGGGGGAGCTGCTGCCTATTGCCTCAATGTTGATCGTCCTTTTAGGGTCTCACCAACGATCGTGTCTGAGTCGTGGAAGTAATTGTAACACATATTAAAAGTCAAATCAATCAAAAAGGAAGTACCCTTTGTCCATACCAATGTCACCATGATGATACTAAGGGTGATGGAAGGGTGATGTACAATCGGAATTGCTATGTACATTCTCATTACTACAGATAGATAGATCCATGGTACGTGCCATTGTTAATCGCAGCTACTAGTACTGTGTAGTATCTCAAGATAATGTGATCTTGATAAGAGGATAAGAAAATGAGAAGGAAAAGAGGCAAGGTCAGTCAGGTGATAGGCCCTACTGCCCATTCAGGCCAAGTCGAACTTAACCGTCGGCAATTCCTCCAGGGGTGGGTGACGCTTTCCCGGTGAGTGTTGGAGGAATAGGATTTTTGGTTGTGAAGGAGGAACTTATCACAAAAGGATCCCATGATGTCATCCTACAGCTGACTCAGCGGGACGGTATGGTAAGACGATGGTATTACATGTATGAGTATTAATGGCTCGGAAAGGACCTGAACGTGGAATCCAACCCCAGACCTCGTGACAGATCCGGACACAATTGTGGCTTCCAGAAATCAACAGTTTATTTGTTGAGAGGCAAAACGGATTTTTCTTTTTTTTTTGTAAAAGAAAGGAAAGGAGATTTTCCAGAAGAAGTAAATTTGAAGAAGGATCTAAATAGGTCAACCATTGTTCGACGGTTAACCCGGATCCAAGGCCATGGCTACCGATAGGGTGGCGGTTGGCGCCGCATCATTTGCCCCCTAAAACAGTCAAAAGCCGCACAAAGACCACTATCATCCTTTAATATTACAATATGACTGGCTATGAATGGGCTAAGACGACGACGGCTACGAATGAGAGCCGAACAAAGAAGTGAAAATTTACCCCAAAGGCCACGCTGCCTTCCGAGGCCACGGACAGCAGCTCTGCGCCATTTTGTGGGGGAGGGCAAATGAGAAGCTGCACCCTTCATCGGGTGTGGGGGATTTTCCCCATCCCATCGTTCAGCCCTCTGTGCCAATCGCAACCCCCCGATCCGTTGCAACTGGTGGATAACTTCATAAGAAGCCATCCACTTTCCCGAATGTCTTAGTGATTGTGTCTCTGTCGGTCTCCGGGTGCTCTGAATGAGGACCTTCTCTCATCAGACCATGCTCGTTTGTCCGATTCGAGATTTTGTTCCTCTCTCAATTAACCCAAATCCGCTCCGGGCACTACGAGAGATGAATTGGAGACCGGATCTCTATTCAGTGGACGAAATGGTGGGTTTCCTGTCAAACCTCCGGCCAGTTCTCTGGTATTGAAGACTTGGCGAAACCACGGACGAAAATGGTCGGAACCAGAAAGTGGTTACACTAGTACTCCATACTTCAGACGGCCAGCCACGTCTCATTGGATATACGACCCGGTGATGGCGCGGATCGTCCTGGGCTTCCCCAACCATGCGTCCCCTGAGCACGGGAAGCCAGTTCCCTAGGGAACGCTCGAATTTCTAGAAATTAGGACCTAGCCACCGAGCCATCCAAAGTGGTCGGTGACGCTCCCATGTTGCATTGGCGCAATTTGACTTTCGCCTGTCTCCTGACGGTCTACCCTTGTTGACCTTCCTACTTCAGGAATACTTTTGTTTTAAACTTTTTGGACTGGGCCGGGGAGAACGTGGTGAGAACTCCGTTTGGGGATTTATATGGGTCCGATACGACGGACAAAGGAGACAATAATCTGGTAGCAACCCTCCATGAAAAGATCGATGGGTATTCCATTGAACGGTCAAAAATGCCGTTGGTCAGGTCCCGGACTGGATTTTGTCTTGTAACATGATGGAGGAGGGTTATTTTTATCAGCTCTATTGGACGAGCTCTTTAGCTCTTCCGATTAAGCAACGAAGGTGTAGGAGCGTCAAAAGTTACTCGATAACTACAGCAAACTAACAAGCTTCCCTGTCCATATAATACGACCTTATAAAATCCACTGGCAAACTCTAGCCACCGTGCAGATGTGTGTCCATCCAGAGAGTCTAACCTTTTAGTGGTCAGCCATCGGAGAACTGGGGGCAAAATACCCGAAATAGGTGAACACGCAGTAATGCACTGAGGCCCGCGATGCCTAAGGTTAGCCGCCGCGCGGTCCAAGCGGCGAGTCGCATTGGCCCTCCTGATTGGCTACTGCCCCACGCCATGACGTTCAAGTTCGGCCTGAATTGCGAGGGTGGCATCCGGGAGGTGCCTGACTACTCTTGAGCATAAAAAGACTTATATCTGGTACCTCGATGAGTATGAGTGTGCTTTCACTGATACTATCGCCTGTTGCTAGGTTGAAACTATGTCTGTACTGACGATTTAACCACATATGACCCAATGCAGTACGACGCCGAACAAGTCCGGGGAAGTTGACTCTGGCTTTTATCGCACGGCCCTCGGACGTTGACACCTCAGGCTTGTTGTGAGGTCGAGCGCTACTCCATTGAGTTTAGCCATGGCCGAGTCAGGTGGTTCTTTATGCAGTAGTGCCTTTCACGGAATAACAACTGGCAGGAAATGGTTATTATCGTGTTTAATAGTAACGGTGATCATTATTATTATTGCATGGACATGATATATCAGCTTACCTGCTTTGTAGAGCCCCTATCTATGTGCAACGTACGGCATTTAACGGGGGTTATTATTACAACCTCTCATTATGTCTCTCTTAGCCACTTTAATCACACTACTCTATATATTCAGGAGCACTACCGTACCACCATAATCACTATAATTAGTTTGACTTGATTGTCCAGCCGAAACCTGCATTGCTGATCGTCTATCAGCGCCTACTAGACGCTTCTTCATGGTGTCTCATTGGATATTTTACGTTGCATGGTTTTGGTCAGTTGGACAGACTTGAACGCCACTCATGGTATTTATTATTAACAAAGTGGAATGAATTAACAGGGGAAAAAAGGGGGCTTAGAATGAAATGTGGAATCTATACACTGAGACAGACAACTCATACCTTGATGAAATAGATAATCTTCTACGAAGTGGTTGATCTGCATCAGTACTGTGGTGGCAAGTCACTGACCCCTGATGCTAGACGGTTACACCCGTAAATCCAGAGATCTGAACTGCAGAACCGCCACAGCCCGATAATATTCGACGATACATGCGTGGTTCTGTACTCCGTAAGGAGTGGCATGCATCGATGATACAATTGCATTGTCGATCCCGTCGAAACAGGGTGGATCAACTAGAGGTAACATCGATAAAATCTCCGAACAGCGTGCGTTGAGCCCAAGAGTTTCTGGCTAGTAGGTGGTCTGAGCTGGCCGGATCTGCACTATGCCATCACCGGATGCGCGTCCATACATTCGATATCTTTCCAGCAGACCTGCAGCTATTCTGCTGAAGAGGTGTTCTAAGGTAGGTACTATGGCACCAGCATTATGCCTAGTGGATCTGTGAAGTTACATTTGCATATTTGCAGGCCGCGTTTAGCATATATGACCCACGGTTTCGCCAGGCGGGTATCAGGGTGGACAGATGTTCATGGCTGGAAGCTATCCATGACCGTTTGAGCTCAACGGGCAGCACTGACCATGTGCTATCTGATACGAATTAAATCCCCTAACATGTAGCACGCCATTTTCGGCACTGGGATTGTCATTGGACTTGTCAGCAATTATCCTGGTTGATTTAGTGATTGGAGTAGGTACCCACTGTCTGCGCTAAGAATTCCTGCCACCAGTTAAGTATCTCGTGTCGTTTTAGACAGGATTCCTTTTTGGAAAGTAGTATTGGGTATACTGTACTTGGTCCCCCAAACCCCCCTCTATATACACAAATATGTGGTTAGCTGAGATCTTATATCTGGGATTAGATTTCCGTCTCGGAGTCCCATCATTTTGGCAACGAGAAATCCCTCAGGGAATCTGGACCACGACAGCTCAACCATCATGAGATAGCCTTAGCGGCCGCTTCTCAGTGGAGCCCCCAACCTGTTAGCGCCTAGTTACTACTGCATGATTGGTAACAGCAACCCATTCTGACCCTGGCCGCAGTCGTCACAAATTCCTGTCCTTAAGTATTGTAACTATTAAACCGAGGGTTACCATACCATCCACTTCAAACCGTTCCTGGTACTGCCGCACCTACAGATATCTAATCACATTTAGCGGCTGGTCCACGCACACCATTCCATGGAGTCTACGAATAAGCAAGCCCACTGATGTGAAGTTGTGGAGTTAATCTGCGACTGAGCCTTGTTGATCCCGTCCGTCCGCTAAAAATGAAGTAAGACGTCTCTCCGTCTTCTCTTCTGAGTCTAGTTGCTGGTGAATTAATAATGCAGTGCAGAAAGACATCGAATATGGGGAAGCTTCAGCCGAGATAATTTTCCCAGAAATACTTTGCTAGGAAAAATAATATATTAATAGTTTTGAATTTACTATTCACTAACCAAGACAGTGAAAGTAAATATTCCAAACCTTGCACAAGAAAACGCACACGCCAGCAGAGGTCCCTGCAGCCACCGACCACATTCAACCCACCATTGGATAATGCAAGCTGCACCTTCCCCGGTCAAGTTAACAACAGACAAACAGCCAGGAGGCTTGCCACTACGCAGCTAATGCACCCACCCATGCAGTCATACATAACAATGCACATACATACATGTATGTACTTAAGTACATTCCCCAAGAAAGTAAAAAAAGAAACTTGTGTAATACCGATACCTATAGCCGGATTGCCGGAGTAAATCCGATATCACCCAAGCTTGCATAGGCACCTACTGGAGATATGTACACTTAACTCCAGCTGGTCCTTCGCTTGTCAGCAATCGATATTAATTTACGGCAAGGCTGTGGGCAGATGTATCCACATTGGATGGCCCATGTATGTAAGACATGAGAGGGCATGCAGACACAGGCTACTTGCGAGGGATGTCGCGCGTACTTCGCCCGGTGTGATGTGCTCCGTCTTATCTAGTGTCGTAGTGTAGTTAGTGTGTACCTTGTTCTACCGGTACATATGGTTATTGCGCTATTTAAATGTGATTTTGCGCTGAAGATGACTGGATAATTGGGTTACTTTGGACGATTTAATTGTTTTCTGGAAGTCGATGGTATTATTTGTAGTTAGATTGCTGGAGCTTTGACGTGGAAGTACGTCGCACGAGGGCTTTTGGTGAGTTGTGATTGATTGCTTAATCGTGTCCCTGCGATGCTTCTACGTTGGTCTGGAGTTAAATGCTTGGTTTTGATTCAGATTCTGGGTTCTGTGCAATGATGTATTCGGTCTACATATGTCATCGTGCTGCTTGCTATTTATAAATGGACTGGTTGTATTGAATATACTGTCTCAATGTTTAGGGTACCTATAACCCTGTGACTTGGGACAACCACTTTGTGCTGTACATATGTAGTCAACATCAACACATTTCCAAATAGATAAAACGGGCAATATAAAATAGTCTTCTATCCTCAACTAAGATTCTAAACCAGACAATATGCTGAAATCATACAACACTGACTCGTCCAGATATCCAATGCTCCCCGCAATAAGCTCCAAAGCTCACCCTACAGCCTTGCTCGGAATAAAACCAACTACGAACACGACATCAAACGACAATCCACATAAACAAGAACACCCAACAAACACCCTCACCAAACCCAAAACTACAAACCGGACCACCCAACCCAAACAGGCATCTCATTCTCTCTCTCCAGAGTCCAGACCCCTTTAAAACGGCCCGCATCAACGGCCGTCCAGCTCACCACCCGACCAGTTCTCATCCAAACCATCAAATCTAGTCCGCCCGATAAGAAACAAGATTAAAGACAAACATGACTACAATACAGAGTATGTACATCTACGGCTCCAGCTCTGCGTACACGCTGCCGACACGAGAAAGGAGTCATTTGATTATCACTATGCAGCCACCGTATGGGTATCACCTTTAGCGGGCTGTATTCAAATCCCCTATACTATATTTTCTGGGTGGGTGTCGTCTGATTATTATAGTGTGTACTGGGATGGTCGATATTGAAATTTTCGGGACAGATGAGATTCTATGCATGATGGAGATTTGGGTCTCGTGGTTTTGACGATGCATGGATGGGCGTAGATTGGGTTGTGGCTTGCCTGGGGGAGTCTTCGTTGGTGGGATGGGGTTATGGTGTGTTTTTACTGAGGCCTGGTTTGATATGGTTGTTTGATGTGGTGGATGATTTTGAGGGGTCTGATGGCGCTCGTTCTACTTTCATATTGAGGGGGTTCTGTACAGGGAGGCTTTTATGTTTCACGAGTATATGAGAGTATTAGGTAACTATACTATGTATTAAGGTATGGAAGAATCAATGTAGGCATGCCTCTTTCCATCTAGAATGAAAACCCCCCACCCCTCATGAATATCCATGAGCAGGCCTCACACACAGTCCTTCGACCAAAGTCCAAGCACTAGAACACCATCAACTCTAAAGACTGTAGAGCAAAGTCCCATACCCCAACTGATCAAACCCACCACTGGTACCTCCATAATAACCACCACCACCCTCAGCACCCTCGCCCTTTTCAACCACCATATCCCGATACTGCTTTGTCCAAGTCGCATTCAGCTTCTTGAGAACCCCATAGTGATTATACAGCAGCTCCCAGATAGGCCGTACATCACCACGGGAATTGTCGCTAATAACCGTCTGCGTCACATCGCTATTCTGGTACGTCGTATAGGGAACATCTTTACCGAGGTTATACTTGGCCGCGTACTCAGCCCTAGTAAAGATCAGCAACAGATCCGTCTTCAAAAAGCCAAGCATCAAAAGGACAAAGAAGAAAAGAAGAAGGAAAGAGAAAACACCTACCCGGCCAAAATCCGATTATCAGCATAAGCAAACAAATCCTCGCCCTGATTAAACGCCGCCTGAGCGATAGCCCCCAACAGCCCAAAGTCAAGCATAGCATGACCCTGATCCCTCCCAGCCTCCTGGCCCTGACCCAGAACCTGACCCTCAACATCATACAGCTTCCAGACCATCTTCTCAATAGCACCATTGCCAGTCCCATTCTTAAAATAGTCCACCGCCTCCTGATACATGGTCTCATTGTCGGCGAGAACACCAATGGAGAGCATGGAAGCCAGGTTACACAGATCCCAATTAGCCCAGTAATGGTCAATCTTGGCATCATTATGCCGGACAAAGAAATCATGATTCATGGGGTAGAACACGGAGACCATCATATCCTGGAAGGCGGCGAACTTCGCCTTATCCCAGCCGTCATAGTCGCGCATGAGCTCAGCGGCGTTGGCGAACTCATAGCCGTAGATGCCCGAGGCGAGGAACTTGTCTGAGTTTCCCGAGATGCCCTTTAGGGTTGTGGCCCAGGCGTCGAGGATGGAGACGGCTGCGTCGGCGTAGGTTTTGTCGTCGGTGACCTTCCATTCGATGGCTAGCGCATAGGCCGCCGCGATGTCTTTGTACAGATTTGGGTAGTTTTCTGCGTGTGTGCCGTCTTTGCCCCTGTAGATGGTTTCTTGGGGGCGCGGAGTGTAGGAGGGGTTCGCGAAGGAGCTGTTGGTTAGTTTGTACCAGCCCGTGAGCCAGGGTTCGGTGTTGGAGTGGACTTTGGTTTTGATGCGTTCGAAGTCTGTGTTTGTGTGCAGGAGGCCTGGGTGCGTGAAGGCTTGGATGAGGGTCGCTAGGGATGCGATTGTCCCTGCTGCCAAGGTTGAGGGACGCATGTTTTTGTTTTTGGCGGTGATGGTATGTATATGCGTTTGGTGACAATGAGGTTCAATTGACAGATAGATAATCAGATGAAGACAGAACCACTAGCACAGCAGGTCACTGTTATACAATTATTTAAAAAGTCTTCAACGGAGCCAGTCCGGAAGATCAACCGGTGTGCATGCGCGTCTCTGTCCGAACGACTGCGTGAACAGGGAATAGTATCCTTGTCCTGGAGGATTGGCCGGACATCCTCCTGGTGAAGATCTTCGGCTTATATGGAAGAGATGTTGTACGATTGAGGATCTGGTTGACGTATGCGATGAGATCTAATGCGGGAAATTTCCCGATTAAGGAGCGAGAGTGATGGCTATCATGACCCAATCGGGAAGCGTTAGGGTTGAGCCGTTTCAACATAAAACATCTACCCCACTTATAAAGCGAAAGGGATTGATAAACCACCATCAGAAACTAGGGGGGGCTCCATATTCGGCGTACTCATCACGATATCCACCGTTTAAGGGGTTCTACATCTTCGCGAATCGGGCGTTGTAGCGGGGCTACATCCCGAAACCCGAGGGGACGTATGGGTCTCTAATATAGATTAATTTATATTGCTTCACTGACTCCTGCCTCACACCCAATCCCTATCCCGCACGGTATTTGTTTGACCATGGTTCTTGCATAGTTCGGGAATTTTACCGCTATGAGTTCCAACGGCCTAGCAAATATCGCATAATTCACGTACCTGACTGTGGCTTTTGGATTCGTCATGACATCAGGTGTAGTGATAGCTGTTGAGATATAAGCATCCTACGCTGCTGCAATCCTGGCACGTTCAGCGTGCTGATCACTCACTAAATTTTCCTGATGTTGAGTTATAGCTGTCAGTCTGTGTGGTGATCATTCCGTAGCCGTTTGGGAGTAGTACTCAGTGTCTTAAGAAAGGATCGACATAGCTATGGTAGGTGTCTACTTACCTTTTACGGGCTGAGGTATTTAGCGTACGACTTGCGATCAGGAAGTGGTTCCTTGGTGTAATGATTTACATTTGTATCCTTGTATGCTCGATAGCAAAAGGGCCAAGATGGCGAGACAGGAGAGCCCTTGCTTAGTTCTACTCCTACGTCTAGATACTAATAACAGTATGTCTGATCATGCCAGGCCACACTAAGACGTATGGAGCTTAACTAAAGCAGCTTCTGAGAAGCTAAAACACCTTGCAAGGTCTCGTGAGTTATAGTCGAAGTGGTTAGACAAACGCTTCAATTAACCAGTATCCGACATGTAAGGACACATGTTCCCCACCTAGCCTTGATTGAACTATCGCCACCATGTAAAAAGCATGAGTACATTCAGGGAGGCCACATGGCCGCAAACAGTGTGGTCACTTTGACTCAAGAATAAGCAAGCAGGACAAGAACTGAATGCCTAAAGTCTCAATTTCGCATTCGAAACATGATGAGGACCTCCAGCACATCGATACCCTTGAGCCTGCATGATCCACCGGTACCCCATGCAGCAAACTCCCACTGTCCTCAATCTCTTCTGGGCCTCCCGTTCTTTGCGCCGTTGCTTCACGGCCTCTTCTCGGAGCTTCAGGAGCCGCTCTAGTTCTGTCTCCTTGGCCCTTCTTTCAAGCTCTTGTTGGAGTTGCTCTTGTTTATGTTGGTTTTCCTTCCCGTTGTTATCATTATCCTCGGGTTGATCCTGTGCCATAATAGTTTTTTTCTTCCTAACACCCTCAACAGCTTGTTGTGCTGCCCTCTCCTGATCCAAGAGCTGCCTATACTGTTATTCCTGCTCCTCTACAGTAATCTTATCGCGCTACAGTTGGTTCCATATCGCATCCGAGACCCCTGAGTCTCGAACTTCGGCGGTTGTAGTAGGAGGGGCTTCTTGTCCTATCGAAGCTTCATCGTCTTGAGGTTTATTTTGTCTGTGTTGCACATCGTGTTTAGAGATAAATTAATGAGCACTAGCTGACTGGTTATCGAAGACAAACCCCTGCTGGAGGTAACAGACTGTTCAAATTTCGTGCGAGCGCTCTGGCGATTGGTGCGTTCAGCTTGCATGCGATCTAGCCCTGCAAGGACCTTAGCTTCGGATATGACCAGCTTTCCACTGCTAGCCCCCTGTACTGCTTTGTAAAAAATTGGCTTTGCTAATGTTTGAACATCGCGTGAATTGACCCGACCTAAGCTTTGTGCCACGGCAAGGGATTGATCGTGCATAACCTTGTAAAGATAACCGCTAGGAAGCTCTAGCACCCTGGAGCCACGGCGAACGGACTTGGGTATTATGTCCCTTGACATATTGGTTAGTAGTTGAATGCAGCCACCAGGACTTAGCCCATCGGATTCAAGTAATTCTGGGAATGGTTTGGTTAGTCCTGAGTTGATTGCCATGAGAGGGTTAATATCCGTTTCATAGCCCACTAGGATAATGATGAGCTTCTAGAAGAATTTGGGCTCTGTGATGGCATTCGACAATTTCATCCATAGCCTCCTTTGCAAATGGACATTCTGCCAGCCTGTACGCTCCATCGACCAACATAATCTCTCCAGGTGCTGTGAAATCCCATACGCTGGAGGACAAGGACTATCTTGGCATTCAGACAGGTAGGCAATCTGTGTCGCAGTCGTCTATTTTCAATCTGAAAACATGTTCTTTCTGATGCAAGGACCATAGCATCCTGGGTGAGGAGTTGCCCTGGATGTGGGTGTCACAGATCCCCAACTTCATTCTTGCATTCCATGAATACGGGATCTTCGATGATGTCAGAGTTCATGATATCCGCGAAGAAGTCAAGAGATGGGAAAGGGGACAAGAGAACAGTCTGCGCCAATTTACGACCTTACTCAAAATCCTTCCTGCATTTGCCCATTGCCAAGCGGACTGGCGGTTTTAGGTAGTTCATGATGAAGGGAGCAATGTAATAGAGCTGCGAAAACTTGATAAGAATTTGAATAGCGCACTTCCGTAGTCGCTGAAAGAACTTTGGTCCTCAGGACGCACTGCTGCCATCGTACTCGGGGACGTATCAAGCGATTATTTGGTTGAGTTTTCCATCAAATCAGGAGGTACTGGATTTGGGGATTTGGACTGGGAAAGCGAGTCCGAGGAAGATTTTACAGCTTGTTCGGCATCAACATGTGGGTACTGTAGACATTGCACATACTGAGTTGAGATGTATTACATGGTGATGGTTATTATATCAATACGTGTTTGTTGTCATTGCCTGAGCATCTTCGCGCGTATATCCTGTCCAGATTGACATGCATATGTGAATTTCTTTTTCTTTCCTCTTTCGTTCTCTTCGATCTTAGGATATCCTATATTCTCAAACTGGTAGTTTACACTAATCCCACCATTTGTTTAATGAAGATTGAATTGCTCGATATATATAGTTTGCAAGATATCCACCGTATGATGAGGTTCGAATGTATGTCTTTGTAGTTCGTATTTACAGCGGATCATATGTCACTTTCATTCAACGCTCAAGTGGAAGAACATTTAAAGCTACGAATAATCTTCAGAAGTGACTATCAAAACAATTTCCTGTTTTCCCTCCATAGACAGCGTCAGTGCAATGAGACTAAATCGGGAGAAAAGCGGACCAGAGAAAGCGGTCGACCTGTAATCCCTAAGCGGGTCGCCCTATTGGGAGGGCGGTCAGCAACAATTCGACAAAATAACAATGGATATCGCGAACCACCCATAAAAATTGTCCCACTTTCAAATCCACCTTATATCCACTCTAAACCCTCAAAAATTAACCAAAAAATTCAAAAGATAATGGTAGCATGTGCTGATCCAGCAGCTTCCGGGTTATGAGCCCGACACTCTTCCCCCAAGTTAACATGCTGTGTTTGGCTGAAAGTTGTCGTTTTAACTTGGTATATAAGTCAGGGAATAGCCCAGGAAATCAATAGGGTAGAAGCCCTAGTCCTGTTTTCCGGGGATGGGAATGGTGGAAGGTTATGCGTTGGACAGGCAGGGTCTTTGGCACAGGTGAGTGATTTGTGGGTAGAGGGAATTCGTGGAAGAAAGGTTGTGTAAGAGAGGAAGAGATAGGCTGTGATCTTGCTACATAGCGTAGGTGATTAGAAAGATAGAGAAGTGCTAGAATATATATCTGCACGGGGAAGGACTCTTGTGTACTATGTATGCATGTATTAATCTCACAGTGACGCCAACCTTCGACAATAACCCATCAACAACTACATTTGCTACAATATATTGTGCGATAACTAACCGACATTTGGATATGCTGCAATTGCGATGTGATGATTAGGAATATCTACACGGAGACATGCTTCTTCTACTGGTTCCTGGCATTGACCCGGGGGAAGATTGAGATGCGGGCCAGCAATACAACTTGCAAGCTGAATGCAAGGTACTTGCCTTTGTCATGGTTCGGGGGGTTTATAACAGTACGATAGTACCTGGCATACTAAGCCTACTGTTTTTCAGATTGTCTTTTCTGCTCATATCGCAACTGAGATGGAATGCTACTTAACTTGCTACTTTTGAAATACCTGCAATCATTAATTACTTTTCCAGGGGAGAAAAAGAAAAGGGACGCTTTGAAGACAGATAAGTATAAACCAAGAAGAGAATTGAAGAGAGCAAAAGATACATCGATGCAATATGGACATTATTTGCCAGTACAACGTCAAACGACCTTGTCAAGGTCAGGGCGCGGCAAAGAGCCAAGAAATTTAATCGACACTGTAAAGACTCCTTAATGACTCAAAGCACGAATTTAATCAAGGATAAAAGTTCGTATTCATGCAACCTCGTATTCGACTACGACAAAAGAGGTGACTGCACTGGTTTAGCCTAAAACTATATAATATCAAATAAGCCCAACCTCAACCTAAATGCAGACCCACCGACAAAACATTTGTACACTTTATTCTACGATCTATAACATCCCAAAACGAGCCAAACCAAGAAATACCAAATCTCCCAAAGAGAACCCACACCAAACCACTGGCACACCACCCAAACATATTCCACATACCCCAAACTTCAATATGACAACTGACACAATCCAAATCCGCCGCATGACACTCCCCGACATCCCCTACATGGCCCAGCTAGCCTCAACAACCTACTTCAACACACCCCTCAGCCAATTCCTCAGTCCATACCGCCACACCTACCCAGAAGACTTCACCCGATACTTTGGCCACAGGATCCGTGCCCGCTACTTCAATCCCAGATGCATCGGCTTCGTTGCCGTCTCTGCCTCGAACCCGGGTCTACCAGTGGCATATGCGCAGTTCATCCGACTGGGAAACGATGAAGCAGCACGGAGACTCATCGCAGCGCAGAGCTCCATCTGGAAGACGTTATGCCGGTGGTGCATGACGGCTTGGGTATGGATTGAGAATATACTACGGCCGGATCGGTCGGTGGATTCTGATGCGGTGGGGAGGCTTGAGAAGTCTGCTGAGGCGGATGATTTGCGATTTTGGGGGTCGGATGAGATGAAGAGGTTGTATGGGGAGAGGTGGCATGCGCAGAGTGTGGTTGTTTCTGCGGACTGGAGGCGGAGAGGCATTGGGAGGCGGTTGATGGGGGAGGCTTTACGGCGGGCGCAGGAGGATGGGGTTGTTGTTGGATTGGAGGCGAGTGAGGATGGGGAGAAGCTTTATCGGAGTTTGGGGTTTGAGTTGAGAGGGAGGTTTTCTTTGCTTTTGGGTGGTGAGGCTGAGGGTGGGATTATGATGTGGAGGCCGAAGGAGGGTTTAAAATGCTGATATTGGATACTTTCGTGGTATACATAAGTTCTACGGTGTTTTGTCGGTTAAGTGTTGTAGGTTGAGTATAGATGTAGTGAAGAAGTCAAGATATGAAATACACAGAAAGGCATAGTGGTGATCACCACATCTTCTCCCACATCCGTCTGGCCCAGTGCATCTGTGCCAGCTCGGCCTTTCGTCGTTCCTTGAATCCACCGTCCTCCCACATCCGACATTCAGCATCGATCTCAGCTTTCCCACTGTAAATATCTGCTTTCGCGGGATCTACAAACTCAGTCTTGTGGTACAACTTCCAGAACAAGAACATGACCACGAAGAAAGCGAGACCGAAATATGAAGTGATGAACCCTTGTACGCTGAAAGGCGAGAACACGTTGAAGCCATTGAAGAGCGTGATCAAACTACCAATCGTCACGGCTCCTATAGCAAAGTACGGCTGGAATGGGGCGACCCAGGGCAGCGCCGTCTTCCGATCGACTCCTTGGGCTTTGAGAGCACGGTACCATCCAAGGAAAACGCAGGCCATGCTGGTATAGGTGATGATCAAGGCACAGGTGGTTAGGTCAATGAACCAGTAGAGGACTGTGACGGCGGAAGTGTCCGCGACGAGGAAGGAGATGCAGGAAAGAAGCGAGACGGTGATGACGCAGTAGATGGGAACACCGGCCGAATTGCATTTGAGAAGGAATCTCGGGGCCTGCCCGTCTCGCGCGAGCGAATATAGGGTTCGACTGGAACTGTACAGATAGGCGTTGCCGCATGACCACCCCGAGAAAAGAATCAATACGTTGATCAAATCGGGGAGCCCGTGGATGTCCAGGTTCTGAATTCCGATGACCCAGGGAGACGCATTCGCTCCGGCTGCATCCGAGTCAATGGCGGATAGAAGGCGAGGGTCTTGTGGCGAGCAGATGATACCCACCGCCAGGACTCCGACCACGTAGAAGCCAACAATGCGGTAAAAGGTCATTTTGACGACACGAGGGATGGTCCAACGAGGATTCTGGATCTCTCCTGCTGCTAAGGCTGGTAGATCTGGGCCAGCCACGGAGAACGCCGCATATACCATGACGGAAAAGAACCCGAGAAATCGCCCTGTAGCGCCATCGGTATAGTATTCGTACATTACTCCATGAGTCCAGTTCCGGAATCCATACACATCGTGTTTTGGATTACCGCCGACCATGGTAATGAAGGTGAGCATAACGAGACCGATCAACAGGAGGATCTTAGTGGAGGCCATGATGAATTCGCTCTCTCCGTACCACTTGACCGCGACGATGTTGAGCAGGAAGCAAACAACTAGCGCCATGGCGACCCAAGCTGCAGGGTTGACACTAGTAGTCCAGTATTGCATCACAGTAGCTACAGCGGAGTATTCCGTGCAAACAAGCATTAAGCCGCCATAGAAATAGACCCATCCCCTGATGATATGTTAGTACCCAACTAGCGAGGGGATCTGAGAAACACACATTGCAAATCCAAATGCAGGATCAACATATCTAGCCGCGAGTTCAAAGATAGAACCTCGAATGGGCAAGTACGCACACATCTCTCCAACACAAAGATTGACAGGCCAGACGAACAGAATGCCATAGAACATATAGCCCAAAAACACAGACAAAGGACCTGTATCGCGCAGATATGATCCTATACCCACGAAAAGACCTGTTCCGATAGAGCCACCAATCGCCATCAACTGCACTTGTCTGGAGGAGAGACCACGCTGGGTCTCTCGATATTGGGTGACTATTCCATTACCCGTCTCCTCTTTTGAGACCTGATGGTCATCTATAACGCTCTTCTTATCCATGTTGCCGGTGAGTCTGAATACTGGGAAGGAGGGGAAAAAGTGCGGGGGACATCCTGAGTTTAAATGTAACACCGCCAGACGAGACGTAGTGAAGTAATGCTGCCGTGCGGGGATGAGAAAAAGGAGCTGGTGATGATAACGATAAGTACTTTATCAAAGTTGGTATGAGCCTGTCTAAGTCTACTCTAGCTGGCCAAGATCAAAGTTGAAGCTAGTGAGTCTTAAAGTGGGAATTAAGCATAACACTGATAAGAGACGTCTCTGTCTCAGCTTCGACAAGCGGTGCTTGTCCGACTGGCGATGCCCGAAGAGGGAAGAGATGGCGATGCCAATGTTTTGCCAAGTGATAAGCTTATCGGAAAGGAAATTGATTAGCCTTCGCACGGGTTGCTTGACCTATCGTTTACTTGAGAATAATTGGGTATCAGACCATGAAGAATTCCACTACCTAAGGTAGTAATAGTAGTACACCAACGAGGGCTAGTGGAGACACATGACCCATCCCCGCTTCTGGGATAGCTTCAAGTGAAAGGAGTGAAAATGCGGGGAGATCTAACTTAGGTTGCATTGCGTTTAGCACACGCACACGAGATCGGCGACGCTACAAGGGCTCCTTTCAACACAAACATACCTTTTCTCTCTGTTACCGAAGCTGATCATACATGACAAGTGCTTGGACAATTCTCTGTCGGGACAAATCAGAGCCCTATGCTGTTTTGCACCGGCTTTGTTACGCCTTCATCAGTTCTTAGACATGATATTAAGGATTAATTTGGAGATAAATAAAAGCACTTGATGCTGTTTTGTCATCAAATTGCCAAATGTCATGCTGAGCAATCTCATCACTAAGTCTATTATGCATTCATGACAAAAAAAAATAAAAATAAAAACCAATATGGACAACATACGACGATTCAGGATATCAACCAAACATGAACCTATGCCCGAAACATTTTCGCCCTGACCGGTGCTCAGTTTCCTCGTACCAAACAAAACATTATCCTAACTCCCGTATCGCATAGTGGTTACTGGATGGTTGCCCATCACCTTCCATCGGTCCGATAATGAGCTACCGAATCGGGTGCTTCTAACTCGGTGGGTGCTACGTGTCTTGGCGGCGGTGGTGACTGTGGCATGGGCTGGAACATAGACGGGTCCCAGCCATATTGTCCTTGCCCTGACACATAGGCACGATTGGTGAGATCCGGGCTCGGCATATACGTCGCTTGATCGCCAGGAGGCTGCGTGCTATCGAAGTCACTCTTGCGTTCCCCGTGGCTGTTGAACAGAGCCCAGCGAGCTGTTCGCTCCGTGGTCCCATCCTGCGATGTCATCCACTTCTTGTATACCTGGTTCCGACCCATGACGAAGAAAAATGCCACGAGAAGCCCGATGAATGCGACAGCTCCAACGACTATCCCAGCTATGGCGCCGCCGCTGAGGTGACTTCCGGACGACGATGGGGAAGGGCTGGAGGTCGCTGATGAGGTGGGACTCTCTCCTTCGGCAGGGATGTGCTCCCATGGTTCCAGCTGGTAGGGGTAATTTATCGCTTTCTTGTTTTGATGCTCCCATGTCATATTTGCGGTCTACTTCCGTCAGGAACGAGAGGTTGCAGGTGAGTAGTACCATGATTACTGACCGGATTTATCACCCCGACCATTCCATTCACGTTGCATGAGCCGATGGCAGTACAGTAGAAGAAAGTTGGCTAAATTAAGCTCTATAAGCATGTGCGATTTAATGATTATTCAGAAGGACCGGTCCCACCTTAGTATCGTTCACAACCAACGACCATGTGGGTGGCTAAATGAAATCAGTAATAGGAACCATAATTATCCGCCGGATGTGAGCCTACCGGTCCTATCATCTGTCCATTCTCTTCGTTGAATTTGTTGAAATGGCCAGAGTAGAAGACGGGGCCGCTCGTCTGGGCAGGCACGCAGGGCGCGTCGTAGTCTGCTCGTACCACAGAATGGTTACGCGGATAAAATTCGAAGACTATTACGTCGCCGACGGATGCGTTGACGCTACTGGGTACATACTGATGAGGATCACTCCTCGGTCCAACCTGGATAGTATGTGTGGCGGCTCCTTTGGACGTCTCGGTCGTCGTAGCGTTTGCCTCCGTTGTAGTTGTCTGTGCTGACACCCCAAGTGATAAGGGATTGATAGTTATCAACAGCCATGTCATCAGATGAATGAGCGACATTTTTGGCATCTGGCGATAAACGACGGGGACTTCCTGCGCTCAAGCTGACATAGTAGACTATAAGGGAGAGGAGAGAAAGAGCCAGCGAGGCAATGAGAAGAAGAAAGGCCCTGAAGAGTGGGCGGCCTTACAAACGAAGGAAGCTTACTGCGGACATGCAGGGTGGCTGCCATGCCAGCCATGACGCAGAGAACCATCCTCCTCTATTGGTTACATTTTCCAAGACTTTGGGACAAAGGCTGAGTTGGTCCAACCATCAAGAAAAAACGAACCATAGGGAACAAAGATGACAGCGGAACTTAAGCTGGAACAGGTAAATTTGCTGTTATCTCGTGAGGTTGTACAGCATGGATGGATTTTCGGTCGTGCACCCGGTGGGACAATATTGTCTTTTTCTTAGCAATTTGTGCAATGGGCAATTTTAAACCCAACCATCTGTACGGGTTTACTATAAATGGGGCGCAGTCCAGGTCAAATCGATATGTGTAACTATTTATACTGCGCCGTTCAAATCCTGGTGATGGATATAAGGGACGTGCCCTGAGGGAAAAACATATCAAATGCCTCTCCAGATAATACTGGATCAAGCACGGAACCTGTTCCCTGAATCAGTATACTTTGAATCCACGGTTCAAACGGAAAGTCTACCAAATTCCTTTCAGCCTCGCTGGTGCCCAGACCCACTACTTGAACCATCGGAGGTTCTTGGCCAACAACCAACAAAGAGGCGATGCAACCTGCGCCTGTCACGTTATCGCGGGATACGAGGTTTGTTGTTACTAAAGTTGCCGGCTCCGTAATTAAGGGCTTTTTTCTCTGGTGCCCTGTTTCCTGGCTCCAGATGAACCAATGGTATTAATACGAGAGACCAGGGGGCCTTAGCCACTTGGGTAGGAAGTGTTGCCCAAATCAATCAGTCGGTCTCGGACACTCCGAACATTTATTTATCTTCAGTCGTTGACCCTCTCGTACGTTTCGCATGCCCGATCCCCAGATTTCATTCTCATCCTATGTCGAATTTCCACTTAGTATCTTCGTGGGGAATATCTCCCGAGTGATCGATCTTCCCCAGACTCTGGGTGGCCCACAGTGGCATCCTAAATTGGTTTAATGATGCCATATGCTCGAGTGAATCTAGAACCGAGTACCATCCCCGTAAAGGAAATGCTTCATTTACACATGCCCCCACCCTTTCTCATTTTCTGCGCTGGTCCATGATGAACCCTGCATGATTACATAGCTTCTCACATGCTTGAAGTCTGTGGCTCCTGGAATGCCGAGATACAAAAATCCACCCCAGAATGTAGATAAATACTAGCGATCGCTTCACTGTAATAGGGGTAGCCCACGTTCTGGAACCTGCAGCCCACCATCATGAAGCTGTACCTCCTGTTCTTCTTCTTCATCACCCTCCACGCTCTCCCGGGTCTCCCCAGGTCACCTGGGGACAAATCGCCGTTTTTCCTCCTGGCAGGAGACAGCACAACAGCGGTCCCAACGACGAACGGAGGTGGTTGGGGCAATGGCTTTATCCAGACGACCTTGTCCAAGGGTGCCAAAGGCCAGAACTATGGCCGCAACGGAGCCACAACCGTCAGCTTCCGCGTAAGAGGTGACTGGGACACCCTTCTCAAGAAGGTTGAGGAGGTGAAAGCCAATTATCAGCCCTACGTGAGCATTCAATTCGGCCACAACGATCAGAAGCCGAAGGCCAATATCACCGTTGCAGAGTACACGAGCAATCTGGAGACTTTCGTCGGAGATGTGCGGAATGCGGGGGGAGTCCCCATCCTAGTGACTCCACTTTCTCGGCGTCAGTATGATAATTCTACCGGAGTGCCCACTATTATCCGGAGTCTAGAAAATGAGCGGGTCGCGACGATCAAGGCAGCGAAGAAGACGGGAGCGTCGTATATTGACTTGAACCGCGCCAGCACGGTTTACCTGAATAGTATTGGGCCGGTCAGTGCGCACATGTATGATTTGAAAGCGGGTGACTCGACGCATTTGAACGCGGCTGGCAGCCAGGTCTTCGGAGGAATGGTCGCCAGCTTGATCATCCAGGACTTTCCCCAATTGGGCGACGCGGGGTTTGTCCATGTGGATCCGAAATTGCAGACAGCGCTGGACAAGGGTCAATACTATTGGCCACAATGAGCGCCATTTTATGTACTCTAGAGGAATATTCGGGGCTGTGATTTGATAGAGATTTATTTAGGGCTCTGTGGGTGGAGGTTTTGTTTGCTCCGGTCTTTGCTGCAAATTTTACCGCTTTCGGTAATTTAATCAACTACCTACTTAATTCTCAGTTCCGTCTTACCGCTGCACTGCTTTGTTGTTCAAAATCATATAGTGTTCGATAGAGATCCTGTTCACTGTTGGATACGAACAACAGTAACTGCATTGCTCGCAATGGAGTCCTTACAAGTAGATAATCCTCAACCAGAACCGGAAACCCCACGACTACTCCTGAAACTCATCAGCGCCGGTTTCGCGTTTTTCGTAGCTGGCGTCAATGATGGGAGCTTGGGGTCGTTGATCCCGTACATTCGAGAAGCCTACCACATAGACACCAATATGGTGGCTGTTGTGTTAGTTATTCCGCCATCTCTTCAAACACGACACTAATATTAAAATACAGGTATGGCACGACCTTTTGCGGTTGGTTCTTCGCTGCTCTCTCCAATAGTCATCTAAGCCAGTATCTGGACCTTGGCGTGTTTTTGGTCATGGGAGCGACATTACAAGTCCTCGCCCATGCTCTGAGAGCCTGGCTGCCCCCATTCCCCTTATTCGCTGTGACGTTCTTTTTTGCCAGTCTTGGTCAAGCATATCAGGACACGCACGCGAACACGTTCGTGGCATCGGTAAAAGCAGCACACCGATGGCTCGGGTTCATCCATGCAATGTATATGGCGGGATGTCTCGCCGGACCCTTCATCTCCACAGCAGTAGCATCGGCCGGAGCACGGTCGCGTTGGGAATTATTCTACACAGCGCCTTTAGGACTGGGCGTCATCAATTTCGTCCTTGTGGTTATCGCATTCCGTGAGTCGTTGGCCCTTAAGCGTTCCACACAGGGCGAGATGAACTCCACCCAGGGCGCAAGACAAAAGGGCGCCATGCAAGAGATACAGAAGACTCTGGCGCAGCCGAGCGTGTGGATATTGAGTTTGTATTTCTTCTTTTTCTTAGGTGCCGTTATCACTGCTGGAGGTAAGCTTTCCACCTTTTCCTGGGAGTAGAGGTGCTGATATTGTAGGCTGGATCGTGGAATACCTGGTTCACGTCCGCAATGGGGACCTGAACGACATGGGATATGTCCCTGCCGGCTTTTATGGCGGCAGTTTCTTAGGTCGACTGATATTGGCTGAACCGACCTATCGCTGGGGAGAGCGACGGATGGTGTTCATTTACGTGTTGCTCTGTGTGGGATTAGAACTGGTTTTCTGGCTGTGAGTACTGATGAAACCTTACGCGCAATGATGCTAATGCGACTAGCGTCCCGAATATCATTACCGAAGCAGTAGCGATCAGTCTCCTCGGCTTTTTTTCGGGACCTTTCTTTGCTACAGTAAGTTGCTCTGTCGCGAGTTACCGAATGATTCAGTAACGGTCCAGGGTATCTCGGTCGCATCAAAGATCTTCACAGTGGACATTCGCCCATCGGCACTTGGTATGTCGCCCCATTCACATCTCGAAAGAGGTGAAGCTAACAAACAGGAATAGCATTTATCTTCGTCCTCGGCCAAGTCGGAGGGGCGATATTCCCAGCTGTTACTGGTGTCATGGCAGCGAAGGTCGGTGTATCAGTGCTGCAGCCGATGCTGGTCGGGCTGCTCGGAGCTACTGGCGTTTCTTGGCTGATGCTACCCAAGTCACGGTTGCATCATGACTGATAGTAGATTTTGTTGATTGGGTTCTCTCCATAAACCCAGTATGTTTATATTTAGCAGGTAAGTCTGGTGTAGGCCATGGAGCAATGTAAACCACTATTGACTATATTGAGAGCACATCCTGACTGGCTTCCTAGTGTCGCACAACAACACTACCATTGCATACCTGGTGAGGTAATATCATTTACCAAGATTCACATAAAAGGTGGATGGGATATTCATGGTTCCATAACTTCATACCCTCTAAGCCACTCAAGCTTATATCGATTTTCACAGCCTATGCCTGATAGGGTATAGCCTAACCATGGAGTGAAAGTCAGCCTTACTGCCTGAGTTGCCCGGCTTCAAAACTCAGCCACTGTTTATACTCCGTCAGATGATGTCGTATTCGCTAAGATTTACGGAAGTAGTTCCTTTATATTGTTGAACATTTCCCTTGTATTCCGTCTTATCTTCATCTACAAACAAATAAATAGAAATACAACATGCCACAAACTCCGAAAACCGGCAACGAGAACATAAACATCGACCTCGCCTCACCCCCCGGTTGGACATACATCGGTGGGGATACTGTCATCGGCAATGTGGTCCGCCGTTCACATATCGTCACACCCGATGCACAGGTGACACTTACATTGGTGGGACGCGTGAAAACAAAGATCACAGTGAAGAGGAACAATGGCCAGACGACTAGTACCAGCCATTACCGCGGTCGCTGGCACCTTTTCCGCACATCGCGCGAGACTCTCTTTCGCGGACCCTTACATCTTCCAGAGGGGAGTGTCAACGACCCACTGACATGGCCATTCTCCGTCGAGATTCCCACACAACCATCGGATCAGGTGCTGCAGGGCCACTGCACGGAAGAGAGCTATCTCCCGTTGGATAAGGAGATCCTTGCCCAGAGCACATTGCCTGCAAGTTTCTTCTCCAGCGGTCGCGGCTGGCGTACGTCCTCCGAAGGCTTTGTGGAATACTACCTCGAGGCTCAGCTGAGATACGGTCGCTCCGGGTCGTTTGAGGTCGAAACCGCGACCTTTCCTATCACAATTCGACAAGTCCCACAGGCCGGGATCTTCAACTATGAGCTTCAGTCGCGCGTGCTCGCGGGAAGGGCCAAGAGCCAACGGCTACTGCCGGGAATGGCACATGCCGAGCTATCGCTGAAGCAAAAGACGCAAAAGCTCTTCGGTTCATCGAAGGTGCCAGAGTTCCATTATACGGTTGAGGTTAGTTGGCCTTATGCCATCAAGCTCAATCACCCGGTGCCTGTTCCAATTATCATTAGTATCAAGCCTTCTAGCGCAAGTCCTGAAATTAGCGATGTCACCCAGAAGGTTCAGTTGAATTGGGTGAACATGACAATCAAGTCTGAGACTATGGTGCGAGCACCAGGGAATCTCACTCCGAAATATACGCACAGCCACTCCCATTCCTTCTCTCATACTATTGGCTTGAGGAAAGCGTTCCTGCGACTCGAGAACCCTGTTGTCTTTACTACTGGAAAAGGGAACGAGCCGGTTGACCTCGGCAATATGCTTGGGCTGCTCTTTCATTCTGACGGTTCCTCCGTTGGGGGACTACGTAATACTACTTACAGGGGTCCGTCCCCTGACTTTGTCACCTGGAACATTCTGCACAGGAATGAATTGGAACTGGAGGTGTCATTGACCGTTGCGGAAGAGACGAAGGAGTTCAAAATAAGCTCAGGACTGAAGATACTTCCAGCGGAGTGAAGTGAAATTCGTGAGAGGTGGAAGCACTGTATATCGATATACCCGAATGCCGTTTACTAATTAATTAATTTTACGTCCTATCCTTATACACTGAGCTACATAATGGCCGAGGCCTGTTGGACTCTACTTTAACCCATAAAACCCATATCATCTTAAGATATCTCCTTCTAATTATTCCCCATTTTCATTCATTTACCTTTTACCTTTCCCTTTCGGTGACCATAAGGTGCATACAATACTCACACTCTTTAGATTGGACCAATAGTATGACTACTTACTCAAATTGACTATCTGGAATATAATCATACCGTTCTCTACACAAGACGAAGCCAACCTAATCTCAACAAGATCCATATATTCAGTGATATAAACACAACAAACCAAGTCATGACAAACTAAACGATCTCACCCCCTTCCCAACCCACAAACTCACCAACCCCCAATCCAAACCACCAAGCTGAGCCCTACAACATAACCCACCTACAAAACCTGCACCTTAGGCCCTGTAACACCAATATCCCACCTAATAGCAACCTCATCATTAACCCCGACAAACTCAAACCCAACCATCTGCCCAGCAGGACAATCAAACTCCGGATACCCCTGATAAGCCAACACCCAGTCAGCCGTACCAGGCGCAGAAACACTAATCCGGCCGATATGCTCTTCCCTCGACTGAACAATCACATCGGCGACCTCCTGGGACACAGACTGCAGCGACACAGACTGAGCGTTCGAGTCAGAAGCACTCGCGCCAGTGGGCCTGGTGGCCGTGAATACGTCGGCCTGCTTTGAGCCGCTGGAGACATCGCGGTCCCAGAGGTCGAATAGGAGCTTGCATTTGTGGCCGTCAGCTGTAGTGGGGATGTTGAAAGTTACGATGGTGGTGGTTTCGTCTGCTGCGTTGCCGTTTTTCACGACGAGGAGTTGGTCTTGTGGGTCCAGTTTCCAGTTGCCGGTTTGCACCCAGTAACGGTAGGTTTCGTATGGCCAGAGGAGGCTGTCCTGGCGAGGGGTCGGGGTTGCTGTGGTGAGGGTGGTGGTGAGGAGGGTTAGGGTTAGGAGGAGAAGGTTCATTTTGGATGGATGTAGTTGGGTTTGTGGAGTATGGGTTGAACGGTGTGTTTTGAGTTTGGTAATGGAATTGTTGTAGTATATCGTTGATTGTTGCTGATGATCTGGTTTCTATACTTCTGGTGATAGAATCCCCATATTTATACCTGTCCACGCCTTCACCTACACCAACACAACCATTCATCTCATGATGATATTAGCATCACAGGTACTATTGAGGCCGGCCAAGCACAACAACCTCGTACTCGGATCATAGAAGCAAGCATCCCATTGCTGCTGTTTCTCTCTCTTCGTCCCATTAACTTTCGCCAAGAGAGATCCTCGTATTTACCTCTCGCCAGATGGTGACGTCGAGCGGATCCTTTATCCGAAACAACCTATGATAGATGACTATTGCAACCATTGGTACTATTTCCATGTGGCAATGCGATGATGGGTTTTGTCTATTCATTGGCGCATGGGGGGTTCTTTTCTTCACTGCTATATTTGGGGACTCAGGTGTTATCCAATTGGATATCGCCCGGGTCTGGGGGTTCAAGTTTATGACATCGCAGATCTGTGGTCCATGATCCTGGCGAATGATATCCTGGGATATATATAGTTAGGTTGTGAAGTTGGAATAAGGCCGACCGGTGGCTGATTGGGCGTTTTCTTGGACGGCGGAGATTGTTGGTTTGATCCAGTCGAGTTATTGGATGTGTTTCGGGTAGCCCGATGTGGCGTTATCTGGTGTCCTGTCCTATTCTTATTTCCTTATGGGGTTCTTGGTCACTGTGTGTGTGTGTGTGTGTGTGTGTGTGTGTGTGTGTGTGTGTGTGTTCTTCGTATATGTCTTAGTTGTTAGATGGAGTGGCCGAATCCCCTTCCGGGTCGTGATGTAGTATCCTAGGGATGTGGGCTTGGCTTGGATAGGTCATTTTTGGGATGTAGATGATCGAAGTAGCTAGTTACGAGAGTGACTCTCGTCGTCGCAAGAGTCAGAGGTAAAATGTCCCATGATGGGGTGTGGAACATGACTTCGGCCGTCTAAGTCGGAAGGGACTGTGGTATAGTTCTGGCATACACGGTAGTAGCTCACGAGAGTTTGGATTTTACAGAATTTGCTCTGTGGGCCTTTTAACCGGATATTCACCAGAAACCCTGGTGCCAATAGGTCTCAGTGAATTCGGCATAGATATCCAGATTGATTTACTTATCTTTATGTGATTTTGATAGTAACAGTTCTCACTGCCCCGATATAGCTGGTCCTGGCGTGCATGTTAGTAGCAAACACCAACACCATATGTAAGAAAGCATTGGGCAAACTCTGTTTCATAAACGGCCATTATGAGAGATATGACATGTGCGGGGAGTATGCCCGGGCTAGTCGGGAGAAGTAATGTCCGCATTGTGAGAATCGGTAGAAGATGGTGGATGAGAGAATAACGAAGGATGTCAGAGAGTCTTTAGTCTATTCATGAATATTACGAGGAATAGATTTGGGATTTGAGCTGGGTAGTGTTTTGCTTTAGTATACATATTTAGATGCTACATAATGTTGTTGGTGTTGGTGGAGTCTAGAGAGGAGAGATGCTTGTGCGTGCTGTGAATATTTAGTTTTTACCTTCCAGTATCTTCTTTACCTCATCAGCGATATTATAATTGAAGACGGCCTTTATTTCCTTCGCAAAGAAGCTCGGAAACCACCCTATATCTGTCAGTAATAGTTCCAACAAAGGCTGCCCAGGCTAGGGCTAACTTTAGAAATACAATACTCACCAAGAATCCATAGAAAACTGTACATTAGATATTCCTCAATAACGGTCATATCACGCTTGATGTTCTGTCTTTGCTTGGCATCTTCGAGAATAGCCCGGACACGAGGAATGCGTAGCTCCATATAGGGCTTAGCTGCGGTCGAGATCGCTCCTTTTACATCGATATGAGGTCCCCGGGTCTCATATTCTTTACGTAAATAATGACTTAGAAATAGGACAAACGCCTCGACATCCTCAAGCGCCTGCGATGAGCCCTGCCCCGAAGTAGGAGGCAATGCATGAGCTGCATCACCGACAAGAACGACACCATTTCGCTCCCAGGTCGGCAGTGGTGGCATCGTCCAGGTAGGATACATATTGCTGACCTCGAGCGAGTGGAGGACTCTCTGAATAACTGGATCTTTCCAGCTGGAGTATCGTTCTCGCAGCTGACGCGCGACATCCTCCTTGTCAATCGTTTTCGGGTTCGGACACTCATCGACTTGGTAAGTTGACCACCAGCCGAGACTCTCGCCCGGTTCGGAGACGTAATGTGGCGAGTCCCTGTGAGGTGCCGAGCGGGCACTGTCAGAGTAGAAGTAGCCGAAGAAGCCATTACCCCCGATGATGAAGTTCATTGAGCCTTTTTCGACGTCGTCCTTGACTTTGTCTGCCGGAATAAAACCACCGATTCCAGACAGGCCTCTATTTGTATCGAGTCAGTTAAGTAATTACACCCCCGGTGCATTCAATAAGCAACACATACTCATAATGAGGGGGAAACGGATCCTCCCCTGCCTCAGGGAACAACGCCCGTTTAACGATGCCCTTCAATCCATCCGCACCGATAACCAAATCCGCCTCTACTGGGGGACTATCATCAGCAAAACGGATTACATTCCGACCGTCCGGGTTCGCAACAACCTCTGCGACCCGTTTCGTCACAATATCGCTGTCCGGGATGCGCATGCGGAGGCACCGCCAGAACCAATGTCGGCTACACCCGACCATATGCATGGGTAATTCACTTGGCGACGATGGTTCATCAGATGCGTCCATACGTATGAGTAGACGTCCGTTCTTGTTTTTCATGTTGGACGTCGGGACTACATATCCGCCGCGGACGATGTCGCGGAGAAGTTCCTCGTCCAGACGTTTTAGGACGTTGAGGCCATTCGGCCCAATACCCAGGCCGCCGCCCACGATAAGTGTCGAGGAGTGGGTTGGGCCGTCGCGCTCGTCGCAGGTGGTGTCTTTGTTTGTGTCGTAGGCTTCGTAAATGGTGATGTCGTGGTCCTGGTCTGGGGTGGGTGGTTTGGGGAGATGCTTTTTTAGTTGGAGGTATGCGGCGCATCCGGAGATGCCTCCGCCGATTATTATTATTTTCATGATTAATTACGGGGAATGACGCTGGACACGGTGCAATGTGATAGTCAGAGGAGGTTTGGCTATTTTAACCAAGAGTTAGAGAATTGCTGCCTGGAGTGGCGTCTGGATAAAGGTGTTGGTGAGTCACCTGGTAAGGTTTCCATGGATCGTTAGGTAGGTTCATTTATAGTCTGCAGGTTTACGTTTCATTCTCCTCCCTTCTCGTATTCGAGAGAATATATAAATAGAAACCATTTTCTAGAAGGATTTTTAAAATACCTTGACTACAATGAAATTGTATTCTTTGTCGTTAAAGACCGGATTCAATAATGTAGATCACACTTACATAGTGTGTAGCAGTCTAAGTTTAAAACATTCAGGCGAGAATATAGCATAATCTCATTCCCTTCTATAACTTCGACTTTACGCCTCCATCACCCTCATACAGATCCCTCAACACCCGTCTGAGGATCTTTCCACTCGCATTCCTCGGTATCGCCTCCACAAACCTCACCCCGCCGGATAGCTCCTTATACTTTGCTAACCGCTGAGCAGCATACAGCGTCAACTCAGCACCGCTAACCTTGTTTCTCGGCTTGGGCACAATAAATGCGCAAGGCCTCTCAGTCCCATCACCTGGATTACGAGCTCCAACAACAGCTGCGTCCGCTACCCCCGGGTGAGACAGCAGAACTGCCTCCACCTCCGACGGTGCAACCTGAAACCCCTTCACTTTGATAAGCTCCTTCTTCCGGTCAACAATGTACCATTTCCGGGAGGCCTCGTCGCAGCTCGCAATATCCCCTGTTTTAAGCCAGCCGTCGTCATCGAAGGCGGAGTTGTTCGCAGAGGCATTATCGAAGTAGCCGGGTGTTACGGTAGGGCCGCGGATGCAGAGCTCACCGGGGACATTATATGGGGAGATATTTCTACCTTGATCATCAATTAACCTGGATGTTGGTCGCAGTTAGCAGACCGGAGCTGTGCATTCAGAGAAAAGTATGTCAGAATGGGGAAAAGAGATAGGTATATATATACTTGGCCTCAACATTTGGAACTAGCCGTCCAATAGAGCCCGTATCATCTTCCTCTGGGTATGGAAATATCATCGACGCGCAACACGTCTCGGTCATACCCCATGCTTGGGTTAGTGGCACGCCGTTGGATAGTAGGTCGCGGACCTGAGTCTGTATAGTTTTGTCCAAAGGCGCAGCACCACAGACGATATTCTTCACCTTTTTCAGACACCTCTCTTTCTCTGGATGTTCTGACTTCAAGATGGCTGTCAGGATAGGCGGCACGACAATCAAATCCGTTATGTCGTACTTTTCCAGGAATTCAAGATATGCGTTGAGCTCAAACCGGCGCATGACGTACATCACATATCCCGATCGCAGGGCCCCGATATGCATGAGGGGAGCAATGGCTGCGTGGAAGGCAGGAAGGACGATTAGGTGGGACACCTGACCCGTATAGTCAATATTGAGATAACGGGGGGGGGGGGGTAGGGAGAGACTAGGGCAAGCTAACGGAATACGGCCTTGGATGAGCTTCAAAAACAAGAGAATGCTGGGCGAGTAGGTTGTGGTGTGTTATTTCCACTGCTTTCGGGAGACCTGTGGTGCCGCTGCTAAAGAATCGGGCTGCGGTTGTCTTCTTCGCGATGGCTAGGTCGTTGAAGCGGACCCAGTCGCATTCACCTTGTTTTAGAAGTAGTGTCCAGGATTGCAGACCAGGTGAAAGGGTTGCATCTCCAGTGGTATCCAAGACCCAGACGTTCTCATTGGGGATACTGGCTTGTTTTACCGATTCCAGCAATGGAGACACGAACTCAGGTTCGCAGATTACGAACTTGGATCTAGAGGTCTTGAGATGGTGTTGGAGTTCCCCTGCTGTATAAGAGGGGTTGGTGCCGGTGAAGATGCCTCCGGCTCCTATAACAGCTAGGACGACGACACTATAATAAATCTAGGAAAGAAGATTAATTTCAAGAGTTCAATGGGATGGATTTGGTGTCTGACATTATTGAGCGAGTGGACTGCCACACAATCTCCATTCTGTAGACCCGAGTTCCGCAGTCCCTTGATCAGCTGGCGGATGATGGTTTGGGCCTGGTTCCATGATAGGGAGCGGGACGGGTTGTGGGCGTCGATGTAGATCTGTCCACCCACAGTCAGTACCAGCATAGATAACTCTGGGACTCCGCTGTACTGATTTCGTCCGATCATATGCGGGCTGGTCAAACACATAGGAAAGGAGGTCTTGGTTCGACAGGGGGAGTCGTCTTTCCGGTTCCAGAATCATGGCCATAGCGCGACGAGAGTGAAGAAGAAGAAGAAGAAGAAGAAGAAGAAGAAGATTATGAAAAGATTTGTGTCTGGCGGGATAGGAAAGGTGATAGCTACATTGCGTTACAATTGTCCATATGTATATGTACCGTTATATATATGGGGCGAATGCCGATCCTATGTAACTTGTAATAAAACGAATGTTTTGCAAATTCATCCAGGGATCCTTACTCCGTGTCATTTTTGTTTCCTTTGAATTCTTCAGCCATTCGTGTGTTGTTGCATTAGACTGTTCTCTTGCGTTAGTCTGGGGTTTCTAACTCGCGTAATAGCCTTTCATCTATCTCATGTTTGAGTTCCATGACCTTAAAGTTAGTTGTTGCATGAACTGGCGTACGTACACCGCTACTCCTTGCATGACAACCCAGCCAATAGCCGAGCCAGGATCAGTTCGCTTGTCGTGCTCGATCCGATCCTTCAACGTCCCTCACCAGACAATATCGATTGGACATGTCATTTGGCAGAAACTAGGCAGTAAGTGAATTGACATTAGCGTTCAACAAGGACCAGGATGAATGTGTTCCACCTTGCATTTCCTATTCTCCAGTATAAACTCGCGGTTGAAAGTAAATACATGTGTGACACCACTGTTCTGAGCTGAAATTATTAAGGAACAGTGGTAGTCTCACATTGGGCACAGTTCTCTCCCTATTCACTTGCGTCAATCCATCCCCAATATTCCAAAACATGGCAAAAGAGTCTTGCATCGTCATCGCGAGCACGGTCGTAATTTCCGGCTTGGCATTCTTATGGACGAAGTACAGGAACCACGGCCGCAGCGCTCGTTCATTCCTTGCAGAGGATAATGTAGTCCTAGTCACAGGAGGATTGAGTGGACTGGGACGCGAGATCGTGCAGTTGTACCGGGCCAAAGGTGCCAAGGTGGCCATTCTAGATATCAAAGATGAGGCCAGCTTGCCGGAGGTACCAGGCACCTCAGCTAGCAAATACTACAAGTGCGATGTGTCGGATAACAGCGAGGTCGAGGCGATCTTGAAGAAAGTCGGGGTGGAAGTAAGCTCAGAGTATCCCCCCGGCACTATATCAGGCCTGTCTGACTGAATTACTTAAAAGCTAGGAAACCCGGACATCCTCATCAACTGTGCAGCAATGCCAATCAACCGACTTCCATTTTACGAACTCCAATCCGTATCCTTCGCAAAAACGATCGCCACGAATTTGCTCGGGCCGGTAAACATGACCTGTGCTGTTCTCCCGATGTTGATGCAGAGTCCAAAGCGTTCTAGTATCGTCAATATCAGCTCTGTTGTGGCACACCTGTACCCCGCGGGCCTGTCGGATTATGCCTCTAGCAAAGCAGGACTCAGTGCCTTACATCACTGTCTGGAAGCAGAAGCTCGCTGGTTGGGGTATCATAAGCAGATCGAATTCTTCCTTGTGGAGGTTGGACAGATGGACACCCCATTGTTTAGCTGGATAAAGCCCCCGAACTCCTTGCTGGCACCGGTACTTGAACCTAAATATGTTGCGGAGAAAATTGTAGGTGCTGTTAGCTCGGGGGGTGGAGGAGTCATCCGGCTGCCGATGTACGCATCCTGGGTGTGCGGGTATGACATGCTTCCTGTCCGGGTACAGCGTTTCGCTAGGTACGTTATGGGTGTTGATGAAGCTATGACACATAGTAAATAGACTAAGGCAAGAGAGTCTGATTTGATTGAACTTGAGATAAATGAGCGAAGAGAATTTACTTGATCACCAGATATGGGTTGCGTTAGATATGCGGTAGGCCTCCAAACGTACACGGCGTCATGTTCGAGAGTACAATAGAATCCAATACCCTTCGAACATTTTTGTAAACTATTGTACGAGACTATCCTAAATGTGGGAGATCTCTAGATATCATACATGAATAAAACACGTATATGAAATGGAAGGCTAACGGCCGAGGGAAATGAACAGAGCACGACAGGTCTGTGACACATGTGGTTGGACGATGAGTTACCCAAGCTCAACTGCATTCCCACCAAATGAACCTAGTCTTTCGGTATGTTGACGAAATAGCAGCAAACTGTAGGTTGCCAGAGTATAGTAATACTTATAGGTGACTTTGTCAGCCTCCTTGAACGGCAGCACCACCAGCCGAACTGCGACGGTTAACATGAAGAGTAGGTGGGCTAATGCTAGATATAACATAGCCGGATTTGGGGTACGCCAAAGTTGGGCCAGAACGATACTGGAAATGCCAGTGCCACCAATAATCATGGCAGTCACAACACGCAGCGGGAACTGCCCTCGACGCCCTACAATCAGGGGCAGCGTTTGGCGACCAACTCGCTGATCACCCTCCGTATCGTGAAACTCCTGCACATGGATGGTCCACGCCAACCAGATGAACAATAGCCACGTAAGGGAGCTATCCGCCCGGAAAGACGGAATGGTCTTTACAAGCACAGCATCAAGCAATCTTAGCTGAATCGTGGCCCCAACCGCAGTGAAGAGGTTCCGGGCGACCCAATTCTGGAATTTTGGCCACACGTAGAAGAGCGAAACCCACACCTCCCACTGAAGGAGCACTAAAGCAGCTTGATGACTGACAGTCAAGCCTATAATGGCCAACGAAATAACCCAGCTGATTAGCCAGCGCGTGTATGCGCCATTCATGCTGAGTCTGCCGGATGGAATGGGCCGGTTCGGCTTGTTGATTGTATCCTCTTCCACTGAGAACGTTTGGTTCGCAATGTCAAAAGTATATGCAAATGTGAAAGTAGTCAGGAACATCCCTGGGAGCATGGTTTTGAGTTGTTCCAACGTCAAATCTAAGCCAATCAATCGGGTAGACAAGCACACTATAGCGTTTCCAATGTGTGCAGTGGAATTGTCGTCGAGGAGTGCTCGTGTCAGCGCAGCCTCTTCAAGAAGAGCAGAAATAACAGTTCTTCTATAGGGGTCAGTATAAAAGATAGGCATACAATGGGTTGGCACATGAGGCAGGGCCGTACATAGCATAGGTTGGTTTGTCCGAGGCCATCTTAAAAATTTTCTCCATTGTGTTGACTTTTCTATATGTGGCGATGGAGCAAGCACAGCTATGGGTAAACCATGAATATATATTGTCGAAAACCCAAGGAGTAGTCTTCCTCCACCAAGCTTGACTTTAAGAAGATGCCATCCTCACCCTACCATACATTCGACTAGTTCAACCCAAGTGCTTAAGGCAACCTGGCATGGCAAACAAAGTTATCAACTCATGCCATTCTTTCCTGGATAATGATACATATCCCGTCCCCCCCACACCCCCTTCGCTTTCTGGGACTCCTTGTGACTAAACGATGTACTGTAGCGAACTATACGAGCTTCTAGTAGTATGTCAGTTTACGAAATACCGACGTCAATGCCGATGTCAATGTACGTCAGGTTGGTGTGAAAACTTTGCGTTTGGATTTCTGCAAGGGAGTGCAGTTACCGGTTTTCCATTCCTCGAAGGTGAAGTTGCAACCGGCAAAAATACAAAATAAAATACAAAGAAATAAGACAAGACAAAATAAAATGAACAAAACACTCCATAAGCACTTTTTCACTGACCGCTCCTTTTTGTAGATCATTTCGTATTGATTGACGTGAAGCTAAAGCCTACGGTGGACCTAGAGAGATGGGAGTAAGAATACATTGCGTAGGCCTGTGGCCAGGGGGGCGAAAGGGGGAAAAAATTAATAAATAAAAAAGAAGCCAAGAAGCAAAGAAGCAAAGATAAAAGAAAAAATGACAGAGAGCTAGGGCTAAGGGCTTTGTACGTATGATCTATAAAGATTAGCTGCTATTATTAACGCTCCCCACCCTGGCTGTCATCAATCATTTCTATATCCCAGTAGCTAGTTCTTCAGACCAAGGATCAAAAATTACCATGGCACCCTACTATGATGGCCTTCTTGCCTTTCTCTTCAGACAGTTTTTCTATACTATCCCGGAGATCCCCCCAGTTGAGCTCTACGGGAAATCAGTTCTTTTGACTGGAGCAAATTCCGGAGTTGGTTTTTGCTTAGCATTAGAACTGGCATCTCGCGGGGCCAAGGTGCTGGCCGCAGTCAGGTCAGTGCCAAAGGGGGAGGCGGCGAAACAGAATATTCTCAAACAAGTCCCGACAGCCCAAGTTGAGGTGCGAGAGTGCGATCTTGCCTCATTTGAATCGGTCAAAGCCTTTGTGAACCAGATAAGCCAGGAGTCCCAAACTTTTGATTTAGTCATTCTGAATGCGGGGGTATGGTGCTCTCAGTGGATGGCATCTGCAGATGGGTTCGATCTTTCACTACAGGTAAGTATGCCTAAGTTTATTGACACTGATTTGATGTGTTGATATGGTCTAGGTGAATGTGTTATCAAATGCTCTACTCTCTATGCTTATTCTCCCACATCTTCGCTATAAGAATGGTAAACCCCGGATTGTCTTCGTGACGTCCGAGGGACACGCAATGGTTCCAACCAGCTTTATGCAGCATAACAGCATCCTAGACACATTCAAGCAGAAGCCCCAATCCTTTGACCACTACACCCACTACTATAATACCAAATTATTTGGGCTTCTCTGGGCCCTTGCTCTTTCTCGACGCGTTGACCCTGAAAAGCTTTCGGTCGTTCTGGCGTCTCCTGGTCTATGCAAAAGTGAGCTATTCCGGAATGTGAGATCTGCACCCACAGATCTTTTAGCCAATTGCTTCGCTCGGTCATGTGAGGAGGGAGCAAGAATGATCATGATTGCCTCCGTAGCCGAACTGGCAGAGAATAGTGGGTCCAGCTACTATAGCCAAGGGAGTCAAGTACCGTAAGTACACTGAATGGCCCTGAGTTTCTGCATGTGACTAACCGCCGTAGAGTTTCTCGCTTCTCGTCAAGCGCCGAAGGAGTCAGCTGTCAGGAGAGACTGTGGGAGGAAATTGCAAGCATTTTGGAGCAGATGGGTCCTAACCTTGAAGCTTATTTGCGAAGAGCCTGTTAGTCTGACTTGGTTGCCTCAAAGAAATGATATGCTCGGACCTCTTCCTGTGGAGCCCCTAAGGCAATAGTATCCTTCACAAGTCACTCGTATAGTCTATTAGCGAGTATAGGAAGCTATTCTCCTCACGTTTGCACAGCAAGATTTTCAGACACATTTGACCGCTTCATTTGAACAGTGATCTACACTTGATGTAGGCGCCAACTTTCAACTGCGGATAGAAGTATATTTGTTGTCATCTTGGGACCGCGTTATGAGAGGTCTTGATAGTTGTAATTCATCTCATTCTTTGGTGATTGTACTTAAAAGTAGTATGCACTAGAATACCACTTTTCTCGTATATTTTGGTGAACATCTTTGAACCAAACCATCGACTCACTTCCCACCACACCATAAGCTAAGGCTCTTCATCATGGCTTTTCATTTCGCCCCCTTGGAGCTGACACCGCTGGACCATACGATGCCAATATGCTACATAGCATTTTTCTACGCCATGGTGTTGGATGACCCACAACAAGGCGTACCCGTCCTTGAAGAAGGTCTTCGTCGCTTACTCAAAGAATGTCCCTTCCTGGCAGGAAATATGATCAGACCAAGTTCGAAAGGGTCAAAGGCCAATGTACGTGAAGTGCAACCTCCCACCCCGGATTCGTTACACGAATTTCCCATTCTTCGTGTAGCGCATCACACGAATCAATACATCACCAAGAAAGTTCACAATCCCGGTGAACGGGTTTCGAGCGATTCTTTATTCAATGAGCGATATTTGCCATTACCGCTGTCGGTGGCGACAAGAGAACTATGTCCTATAATTCGATGGCAAGCGAACATTCTGCAAGATGGCATATTTTTGGCTGTCTGCTTTCATCACTCGGTATTTGACGCTGCCGGATTCTACTTCATCCAGGATGCATTAGCACGATGCTGCCGCGAGCATAACTGCCCCACTCTAACCATACCCCTAGGGCGGGACCTGCTTGAAGGAAGGCGAAGAATGGTACCCGACCCCATGGTCAGCGAGGCGGGGGGCGAGGCACCGGCTGGGGATTCACAAACCCTCAAAGTTGCCAACTTTAACTCGGTTGAAGGGCTGGTCAGTCGCCGACTCATTCTGCAGCCCGCGAGTATAGAATACCTCAAGGGTGTTTGTAACGCAATCCTGCATGACCAGTCACAAGGGCAATACCTGACATCCAATGACATGATATCCGCGCTGCTATGGCTCGCTATTATCAGGGCACGGTATGAATCATCATCGCATGGCGCCAGCGTACAGGACAACCAACCTACTCAAAGTTCGTTGATACTCATCACTGAGATTCGTCGAACCTTAAAACCGCCACTCCCATTTTCTTACATGGGAAATGGGATTATTCAATCCGCGACGACGTCACCCGTGCAGCCTGCTCTGGGCTCTGATGTGCCAAACACATTCCATCCCCAATCATCAGATTTGACCAAGGGCGATGTCCAACTGCTTGTCGATCTTGCACTGAAAGTTCACGCTGCCCAGTCGAGTGTGGACAATGCTTACGTGAAGGGCATTATTCAAGAAAAACAGAGAAGTATAGATTGGAGTCCCACCTTCAAGCAAGGTGATATCACATCCACCAGTATTCGACGCATGGGCATATATGGACTAGACTTCGGTACTACCCTAGGACGCGTGGTAGAGTTTGACAGCCCAGATAACCGGATTGACGGGACGGTCTGCATTCTCCCTGCCCGTTCCACGTCGATACTAGAACTGCGGGTCACGCTACCGCCTAACATCATGCTCCGGCTCCTACAAGGTCCACTTTTGCGGTGGGCGATGCGAAGAACACTCGGCCGGTTGTGAGGGTAGATCGGAAAGAATCCATTGCATTGACAATAACTGGGTCATGTATTTAGCTTTTCAGTCAATCACACGACAGGTCAAGAGTTAGGGATACGGAATATAGCATCCGCTTGCGTTGATGTTGATCAAGCGGGTCTTCTTCCCACGCTTAATACATAGTATACAAATGATACTCCGTATTTCAGTACACGTTCTCCGACCTCGTCTTGGCATATCGGATAGGGTAATTTTCAACATGAAATGAACGGAAATCACTATGTGCAGTGTGACTCGTTACTGTACAGGGTCCTCTGGCTCAGTATCTTGAGTACCTCGCTTCACTAGTCGTCTCACTACTGCTATATAGCCTGTGAAGCTGCGATAGACTTGTCTACTGGGACATCAGCCAATTCTTCCCACTTGTTCCTTCGTTTATTGTTTTCCACTGTTTAAGCCTTCCGCAATATGTCGTTTTCAACAAAATATGACATTGTCATCATCGGGGCAGGAATCGCCGGAATCAACGCCGCGTACCGCATCCAATCACTCCTTCCCAATCACACATATGTTATTCTTGAAGCCCGCGACACTGCTGGCGGCACATGGGATCTGTTCCGGTACCCTGGTGTCCGGCTCGACTCCGATATCCACACGTTTGGGTTCTCTTGGCACCCATATCACGACGATAAAACTATGATGGACGGAGAATCTCTGTTCAATTACCTGAATGAAACCACAAAGAAATACGGAATCGACAAGCATATCCTCTTCAACCATCGAGTTAGACATGCGGCATGGTCCTCAGAAGATAATATGTGGAGCTTAAGAGCCACGCTTCAGGATAAAGAAATTTATCTTAGCGCAACGTACGTAATGTTCGCCACGGGATACTTCGACCATAATGAGCCATTGCCCGCGCAGATCTCCGGCTTGAACGACTTTTGCGGGAGGCTCATTCACCCACAGTTCTGGCCAGAGGACCTCGATTGTTCGGATAAAAGAATCGCGGTCATCGGCAGTGGGGCGACGGCGATCTCGCTGGTCCCCAAACTAGCCGAGATGGCGTCTAGTGTGACCATGGTACAGCGCAGCCCGAATTACATCTTACCAATCCCTTCACCAGGAGGCAACGGATGGGCACGATTCTTCCCAGCCGCGTTCTCTCACAAAGTTAAACGCCTCGGTTGGTTGGCGATTTCACTATTCGGCTATTACGCATTCCGCAAATTCCCCTCGACGG